ATAATATGGCATCTTTCACCTCAAATAGCCTAACACTTCATAAAGTGATATGAGCTTCACTAGTTGCTAAAAACACAGCTATTTCTGAAGTGGAACCTGATATCTTTCTTTCTTTTTTTTTTTTTTCTTTTTAACCAGTAGAGAGCAATGTTTTAAGGTGGAGAGTGAAGGATAGAGTATGCAATCAATCATAAGTATAAACCTAGGAGGGCTTTGCAAAATGGAAAGATCAGGCAAAATCTACTTTTATTAATAACATGCATTATGGTGTCTCATAATCTTGTGTCCTTAGTTTATAAATGTGGTTCATCTATAAGAGATACAAGCAACTCAAGTGAGATTTTGTCCTGTCTCTTTCAGCAATACTCTCTTACAGCTCTTTAGGAGCAGATGCTCTGGTTCCTTTCTTCTCTTCATTCAGTTTAATGTCCAAGTCCCGGAGCTGGCTGAGGAACCCTGAATTTGGGCAGATGTCTCTGTGAGCACCCACCGTCTTCAGAGCATCCACGAGTGTCATGTTTTCATGGATCATTAAAAAGGCAAGCACTAAAGTCGCTGAGCGGCTCACTCCCATGGCACAATGAACAAACACCTTACCTGCAGAAAAAAAGAGGTACAGCAAAGTGAGTGTGCTTTAGCATTTCTAAAGTGAAAAAGACACAGAGAGGAGAAAAAATACTAGAAACAAGTTGGGAAAACAATTAGTGAATCCTCATGTTTTCAGAAAGATTATGCTAGACCTCTCAGGCAAGGTGGTGTTTCATACTGATCTCCTGGATCTAATTTAGGCCTCAGATTAAAATAGTTGAAATTTTCTGTGGCAGGAGAAGCTTTCTGTGACTAAACTTGTTAGTATAGTTTTCTGTGGAAAAAAATAAGCTTTGGCAGAAAAATTTGGCCCAGCCCTGACTGTGATCACTGGCAAGTTCCATAAACTCTGTGGGATAGTCTGCCTGTAAAAATGGAGTCGTAATTTACTGTATCTCAGCAGCCCAGTGTGAGCTATAACTGGGGATTTAATAAAGCACTCCAGTGAAAGCAGCAGATCCTACAGCCAGTCAGAGTCAGAGCAAACTCTGGAACAAATGGAAATTATGATAACTAGGCCATAATCCAAACTCTGCTGACAAAAATTCAGCAGGCTGTGGGTCAGGCTTGTAGTTTTTGACTTAGTTCATTAACTTCTGCTGCTTCTCTAGCTTAATAGACAGGCTGAATAAAGCTCCAATTCTGTGAAGTACTTAAGCATGTGAAGCATTCGAGCCAGCACTGAAGTGACACTGCTCCCAGCTGAGTGCATCGGGACCAGGAGCAGCATGCAGAGCAGGATTGTCTGTCTAGAGCCCATGCCAGTGTGCAAGGGGTGGGAGGTGTGTGTGGAAGCACACAGATCATGCCAATTCCTACAGCATGGGCCCAGGGGGGGAGTATCCGCAGTGCCATAACCTCTACACTCTGGTATTAGAGCTTGCCCTTCTACTGCCATGCTGGGCTGCAGGCAGCAAGTCTTCCCCAGCTCCTGGGAACCTGGCCATGGCCACCTTCCCTGCAGCACATGGCATAGGCACCCTTCTCCATCCTCTCCTCAGTGGTTCTGCATATGCCACCTCGAACCTTATGCTGATTCTGAGCTCTGTTGGTGCCTGTTACTGCAAGGAGAAGTCATTTGGCTTGTGTTGAAACTTCCTCCCAAGTTTGCTTCCCTCTTACCTCCTGAAGAGTTTAAGGCCTGGCCTATGAAATTGGCAGCATCATAGAAGAAGATACTTAAATCGAAGGAAGGATCATCAAATGCTTCTACTCCATAGTACTCTATTTGCAGATCTTCATAATATTTGGCTCCTGTGTTGATGCTATATGGTCCATCTGCTGCATTAAGGATATGAGTAATGTTGAGGCTTTGAAGAGTAGTTTTGCTCCTGGCAGCCCACCTGTTGAAAGACATGAAGGGCACATTGGCAACGCTCCCAACATTCTGCTAAAATAACATGGTTTAAAGTTAGCGCCTGCTCCTACTAAGAAAGGATGCAGGAACTGCATCTTGCCTACAGAGGAGAAAATTTTGAGAAGCACATAGTACTTTGTGCAGGAAAAATGTGATATGGGGGTGTGGAGAGCAGCAGGAGCACAGACTTGCCAGTGGGATACTGTCAGTTAAGCAAATGCCTCCTAGCGGTTAATCCCTGGGAACATGGCTTACTCTATAAAGTGGTCAAGATTTTCCTTTAAATATTTGTTTAGCAAGTTTTAGAGCTAATCTCTCATTGATAGGTTGCCTGGGTCTCAAGGGTAAGAACTCACACAAATGAAGCAACACCATGTTCCTCATTTGGACATGAAGCGGATGCATTGTATTCACCAGCTAGGTTTTCCCCCCTTCCCACAATAAAGGGGGACTAAATGCATTCTACAAAACTCTGAACCTTAACTGATATATTCAGGAGGAGATGGAGCTGGGAAAAACAAGCCGATGACCTGTGTAATCTGCTGTAATCCAATTGGAAGGAAATAGCAATAAATATTACTGGTCACAAGAATAAGGTGTTTGCACAAAAATACTGGATTGATATTTTCAGTTTTGCCATCTTTGAAAGAAACTTCTGATTTCAAATGTCAAAATCCCTATTGTATAATTCATTTAGGTCCTCTTCTTTCTGGCTCTTGATCCTGCCACCCCTATTTGAGTGTGAGGGCTACTATGCTCTTGTCTGCTGCCTTAGAGCACAGTTTTCAGGACAAATAATGCATCTCAGAATTGACACCAATTTCGTATAAGTTCTTTGAGGACTTTTGTCTAGAATACAAATAATTCTTACCCAGCCAAATCCACGGTGGCTCACAGAATATAAAAACTTGACATCCAGACTCCTTATGTCATCAGCTTTGGAGGCCTGTATTGTAAAAACATTCCTGTAGACCCAAAAGCTGCTCCTCAGTGTACCACACCCACTCCTCCTCCCAGGGACTGATAACAGCTTAACAATAGGACCATATGTTCTTACGCATCTCCCAGGTAGATATTTGGCCAGACTTGGTCCACATGATTATCAGACCCTCCTCTGAACCACAGAAGCCGCTGGAGGTCTGATAGTGCTGGTGTTTCATAGGAATCATTGCTAGTCAGAGATGAAGAGTCTTTGGTGTGAGGCATCTTGCTGCTCTTTTGCACGCACTCAGGCTGTATCAGAGACAGCTTTTCTGAAATGAATTAAGAGGAAATTTTCATACAGATATAACATTCCCTAGAAAGTGGTCCTGTTCATTACCCTCCAAATAGCATTACATTATTATAACTAGTGTGTGCAGCAGGGCCTGCAGGTGTTGCTAAAAACATCCAGAGAGCAGGAGTGACTCTGTGGTAGGACTCTATGGGCATGTAAATCCTCCCCTGAGAAAGCAGCATAAGACAATGTGATTTAATTTCTTGTCAAGTACTGATATTGGAAAAGAACATCCTGCGCCACCCGAATGCAGCACTGGCTGAACCTTGTAGGTGCAGGTGTTATTTCAATTACTGATGAGGGTATACAGAAAACCATCAGCTTTTTTTGTTGAAGAGTTACCAAGTGTTTGTGCACACTTGATTCTGATTAATTAAAACTGGAAGTTTTTGAAAGATTACATCATTGGGCTAACTTATACTTAAAATGCTTTTAGGGCCAAGGTGGAAGTCTTAGGATGTGTGTGTGAGCGACATTTGTATAATGCATGTGTATACACATATGAAATATATGTGCACACAATTTTCTTTTATTTATAGAGATGTATTTAAAGACACATATACACGAACATATATACGTATGAACGGATTTTCACATGCGTATATAAACATAGATATGTCTGTATGTACAGAAATAGAAATTGAGAGAATTTGAACTAGTTTTTTCTCTCTCTCAGTTGAATACCCCTGAACACTTAGCTATACTGGTATTCTTGTGCCAGTCTCTCTCTGTCTCTCCTCTGGGAGCTGTTCCACTTTGTATAAATAATGTGATAGGTACTTGCCTCCAGAGAGAGGCCATTTCTCTCATCTGAGGGGTGAGGTACTTACCTGGGGTGTGAGAAAAGAGAGCACCTGAATTTTTTGAAATTATAGAGCTGAAATTCTGGCGTTGTTGTCCTGTTGAGAATCCCATCTAGGGCTCCCTTCCCTAGATCTGTGAGGGATCCGAGAGATCACAGATCTGTGATGCCTCACAGATCACACCATGGAATTTGGGCATCCCTTTTGCAATGTTGTTTGCTGGTTTAGACCCAGGAAGCTCAGGCCAGCCGGTTCGACTGAAAGCAGAGCTCAGTCAAGAGCAAGAGTGCGAAGATAACCAAGCAGTCCTTTCTTGAGACTTTAGGAGCATTTCTCCTGCCAGGATCTCATTATCCTGAATTGCTCTTCTTGCCCCCAGAAAATATTGATGAGCTTTGTTTGGCTGCCTGTTGGTATTATATCAACGTGAAAGCCACACTAGAGCTCTTGCAAAAGTAGAGTAGATGGTGTTTATTCTCATGTGGCGTCAGCTTTGCCTAAATCTAGAGTTTGGGTTTGTTTTCTTAGCAATTCTAGAAAACAAGTGCAGATGGGACCTTCAGAAATCATCTAGTCTGTCCCCTGCCCCCACAGCAGCAGCCAGATGGATGTTGCTTCTAAAACAACAACAACTTTGTCCAACATCCAGGTATGTTGTTTTCAATGATGTAGGGTGATTTGGGGAATAAGCAGAAAACAAGGGAGAATATATTTTTGCTTCTGGATAAAGAAGTAGAGATGATGTGAAGCACATTATGGAACACATTACATATATTTCTGTGACCTCAGCCTAAATTTTCTTCCCTTGCCCCTTTCTACCTCCTCCTCCCCACCAATGTTAAGCACAGTGATAGCTTTTTGTATGTTCCAGTAAAAAAGAAGTCTCCCTAGGGTAACTACTTAATAAGTAAAATATGAAAAGCACAGTAAAAATCATGGGAGAGATAGGAAAAAAGTGACTGGTTTTACTTTTAATGATGGAGGAAAAGAACTGCAGGGAAGTAGAGAGGAATATAGAGATAAAAGCCTATGAATTTTTCAGGGCAGAAAATGTAACACCAAGAGCTTTGGTAAAGGAAAATGTTGTGCAATCCTTGCACAGATTAACATAAAGAATAGCACAGAAACAGATATTGTGCATTGCCCTACAAGTTTTACTGCCTTGTGAAAGTCATGCACTGTGCTCAAGAGCTACTGCCAGCATCTTCATGATGACCTGTTTGTACTTTCATCGACACAGAACGTTAAGCTGAAGCAGTAAAAGAAATCAAGAAAAAGATAATACAGCTTCTACATCAGGAGATTCAGAAGATCACAGGCTAATTTTCAAGGAGTGTGGCTGACTGAGTCGCTGCAGATGCTTAAGGGCTGAAGTTGTGGAGGTAAGCAGATAGATACCAAACTTTCAGTTCTCCTAGCCCCTGCTGCTTTAAACTTCTGTTGTAGCCTGTCACCTAGTTACAGTAATGGAGATGATGAGCAGAGAGAATTAGATTGTGAGGCCTCTTGTCCAAGACCTGACTTTGAAGAAATTCTCCAAGAATTGAGTTATTTTGGTGCCAGTGACACTTTGGAGGTGACTCCAGCCTTTGCAGCCAGGGAGGTGCTTTGCAACAGAGCTCCCTTTCATACAGCAATCTGCTTTTCAAAAAGCACATCAACATCATTTTATTCACATGACTAATGCCAAACAAGTGAGCTCCTCGTGTCAACACGAACATAGCTCCTCCCAAGAATGCTCCCTCCTGCGCTGCACTGGCCTTGAAATTGAATTGCTCTACAGGGCCTTCAGGGTAAGCTTGGAAATAGCTATAGCAGATGATTGGACTAATGAGGAAAGCAATATGAATTTTTTAATTGAAGGCCAGGGACTTTGCTGAGGGTTTCCTCCCTCCCCCTACTTTAAGATACTGCAGAGCTAGCAAAAGTGCTGCCACTGATTACATTTCTCTAAGCTTCTCCCTCTGGGTGGCTCCCAGAAGCTGTTCCAGTTGGAAACAGCCAGTGACTGCAGGAAGGCAGGAGTCCCTGTACCTGGGGAAAAAAATTTTCTATCTTACAAGGTCACTAACGTTTTCTCCAGAGATCTAGACCATGCAAGTAGGATAGGATTACTTTTCTTTTAAATTGTAGCCTGGAAGCACATAAAGACCATCTCATTAGATTCTTTCTTTCTCTCTCTCTTTTTTTTTTTTTCTGGTTAAAAAATAAAAAACCAGAAACAAAAAAAAGTCCTTCTACCTCTGGGAGACTTTTGAGGCTGGATAGGATTTTTAAGGGCAATACAGAGAATCCAAGGCAGCACAAGCTTTAAAACTTTCTTGTCATTATGCAACAATTCCCAAACACCTGGAGCACTGGGGTGCACCCCACATGGCCAGGGCCTGCTTGGTTCCATGTCTGAGCTGTGGAGCCTGGATTTCCCCAGTGGTCCAAGAGCTGCCCTTGAGGCCCAGGCTGAAGGTGGTCGTGGGGTGGAATTGCCTGGCTGCAGGCAGCACCCAGGAAGGGCTGTGGGTGACTCCAGGCTCTTTGAATGCAGCTGGGTGCAGCTCCTGAGGGACCCAGTCAGGCCAGGACTTGTCCACAACAACCTAGTTAGTATCTCCCCAGTATTGTTTAGCCACTTAAGTACTACAGTCTGCTAAGCTTTTTGTTTGTTTTTTTTTGTTTGTTTGTTTGTTTGCTTGTTTGGAGGTTTTTTTCTTTCCTTCTCTATGGTGGAAACAATTGCCATTTTCTATTGAAGATTTTTCTGGCAATGGATGGAAAAAAACCCACACAAACCCCCACTGACTGGAATTGGCTAAAGCATTTAACAGATTTGTGTTGCATTTGCAGATTCCAGTGAAAGAAAATTCAGCAAAGTTCGGGAGAAAGAAGCAATATTGTAGATTTGAAATAGTTAATTTCGTTATTTTCATTTTTCTATTCAGAGTTACTTTGTTTTGGAATTTGTTTTGCTGCATTGCATAAAATCTTTTAAAAAATTAAAACAAGATGAAACGGCTTGTTCCTGGTTGAGAAATAAACTAAAATTGAACACAGATTGAGTGGCCACCTATTTGCTTAGCCCTAATTTTCACTTTGTAACAGGGGAAAGCCTCCTGCCATTTTGTCATGGTTGTTACCTTGTCTCTTCAAGAGTGAACTGAGCTGTAGAGAGATGAAACGAATGTCTGGAGTCCCAGGAGGAGTATGGCAGGGCATTAGTTGGACCACAAGCATCCCTCTTTCCCTTTTGCTAGCACCTCCCTAACTGGCACAGCTCTGCCTGTGGTTATGTTCATAGCCCGGATGGGGACAGGTGTCTTTCAATAACAAGGCCTTACATGAGATTATTAAGAGCCTAAGGCACAGCAGGGCCTGTGGTTACTACAATAGCATGAACACTACCTAACAATAGCATGATACAGAAAGCTCCTGCAACCAAATATTCTAAATTCCCTAAATCAAAAACCTGACAAACTAAATGGTTCAAAATTCCAAAGCATGAGGTCAGGATATAATTCATGTGAAAGGAAAAAAAAAGACAGCCTCTTGATGCATTTGAAATTGCTGTCTACTCTGTTTTTTCTTCTCTCTTCTCTCAGCAAGCATCTCTGCACTCATCTTTTACACTCCTTGCTCTTTTCTCTCAGGTAGTGCTTTACACTATGGCTCTTTGTCCTCCTGATGGAAAAATCCAGATGGAAAGAAGTATAGTTCACAAGGAAATGATCATGTAAGTGGAATTAATCTTTCAGATACTGTAATGTGAAATATGATCTTCCTTTTTGTTAAGAAGACCCAGTCTGTGTCTCTACACTTTGGTCAGAATCCGATGCTAAGAGAACCCAGAAGTCTCTTGAGGTAGAGCTGAAAGCTTCTTTGCAGAAACAGGCACATTTAAAAGCAATAGCAAAGTTAAACCAGCCAGATGGGAACCTAGCAGGCAACCGAGAGGGGAACTCTCTGTTTTCCTTGCAAGCCTACAGGGGCTTGTTTGCAGGAATTAGAATCTCTCACCAGCAGTTCACTGCAGCTCTAATACCAAGTGGTATTGAAAATGAGAAGCAGGTTATGGCTGATGGTTTAAATGAGGCACCTATGGGAATTTAGAAATGAGATCCTGGACTTGTCTCAGTGTAGGCCGTGCACATGGCAGAGCAATATTGCTTTCTTGGCTGACTGCGTCATGTATTATGGCCTTTTATTTTGCCCACAGTCAAACAGCAGGGAATAGTAGAAAGTTCATTGCTCCAGCTCACTGTTTAAACTCTGATCTGCCTCACCGGAGGCAGTGCCCCCGAATAATGGAAAGCAGAATCGGTCCCTCAGCCTCATTGTGGGTACATGTTCAATGCAGCACTGAATTAATGCCACTGCCATTATTTCAGAGTGAAGAGAAAAGCAGAATGTACAATTAAACCTCTGTTTGGTTCAGTTTTTAAGGGAATTTACTACCTGGGAAAGATGCCAGATCAAGGGCTCTGGAAAACACAGCCCTCTCTTTAACAGCAGTGTTGGGAAAGATCAGGAGCAGCCCTGCAAGCCTCCTCCATGGCTGCCCTCTTGGCTCAGCCCAGCCCAGCTCAGCTTGCAGATGCCCCTTGCCCTACACTTGCAACTGTGTTTTACAGGGTGAGAGAAAATCCAAGTCTTCACACCTCTTCACTGCTTGGTCTCCCTCCTGACATCCCCATTCACATCCGGCCTTGTACTTTTACGATGGGGCCCTCTCAGCTTCTCCAAATGGAGCGAGAAGGTACCAACTTCTGCTCACAAGGAGCCTGAGCTGGGCTGGAAAGCTAAAGACTCCTTCCTCTGTGAGCCCTCCTGTTCTTGCACAGAGCTGCCCATGGGGCTGGAGGGGCTCTTATGGGGCAGCAGCAGGCTGTTCCTGCCGCACAGGACCTGCGTCCACCTGGGGATGGCAGGAACATAAAAGGCCATCTCAGTGGTGGGAGCAGTCAGAGGGCAGGGCGGGTGAGGGTAATCAGCCTCAGGCAGGGTTGGGATAGCCCGGAGAGTTCCTAGTGGGGAGGAAGGTCCCAGGTGAAGTGGGAAGACAAGGGGATGCATGGCCAGGCACAGGCAGAGTTGTGAGGTCACATAGGTAGATATGAAGCCTGAGCATCTCAGCTCTCACTCTCACACAGCCCCATCCAGCAGCCCCATCCCAGGTCACACAGCCACTATTGTCCTTAGACAAGGCAAGCACCCGGGAGGGAAAGAGCTTGCTGAGCTCAGGCTCAGTGGGGGGAACTTCACCTGTGCCCTGCTGGTTTTTGGGGAGAGGGTGTTACTGCTTTCTCATAGAAGTGCTCCTGGAGAACATTTCCTTTCCTTTGTAATATAATGGATCTGTGCATATTTTCCCAAGACTGCCATTCCAAGGGGGGAGAACCTCCATGCTGCCTCCAGCCCCCTGTGCTTCCTCCCCCAACCCTCCCATTTGAGAGCCACACAGCCTAGGAAGGGGCACTTGCCCACGCATGGGGCTGTAGGAAAGGATCCTTTAAAATGGAGGCACTGGTTGGAAAAATGGGGAGTCCTGCTTGCAGTGACAGGTCATGGCTGTGGCATGACGACAGCTTTTACATCTGCAGCTTTCAGATTCAAAGGAGATAAAAAAAAGAATTATTACCTTAGCAGCTGGCATCTCTGAGCTATTCAATGCACCATCCCCAGCAAGACAGCGCTGCCCTCCACAGGCTCCTACCACAATTTCCGACTGTCTGTGGATATTTGTCAAGCCTAGGGTGATGCTTTCCCCTTTATTTCTCCTCTGGAGCACTCCTGTCCAGGGTACCACAGCTAGGAATTAAAGCCCTTCAAAACTACTGATTTTCTTGACACGTCTCAACTACAGTCATGCTTCTCCCTGAATTAAAACACTGTAGTTTTAAGTCCTGTTGCCAGCAGCCATAACTGTGCTGTATGCTGTAATCAGGGGAGCACACAGTCACCATGCAGCTAACTGCTTCTAATAGTAGAAACTTCACTCTAATCTTATATAACGGCAGTAATGGAGCAGAGAGGCTGTGGCTTGTGAGGAGCTTAGACAGAAAGCTTTCTTGGGCAGCTCGTGCCCTGAGGGCAGAGAAGCTGCAGCTGCAGTGAGAGCAAGAAAAACAAAGTGACCTTGATATTGATAACAGTTCAGTGAGTGCTGTCACAGCCAGTGCTGTGCCAAGATTTCAGTGGTGTCACAGGCTGTCGATAGGTGTAAGTTATGGGCAGTTCTGATACAAATGGTGTCAAAGAGACTACACTCAGAGAGGGGGGGAAAAATAATGTCTTGCAAGCTTCAGGAAAGACAAACAAGGATGTTAATATACTGCTATTAGAAGGGGCTCCAAAGCACTTGCACTTCTGCAGGCAGTATGGATTTGTGTGACTGTGGATTAAAGAAGTTTTTTCCTTCTCCTTGATTTACTCCTCAAATGATTTTTATCTGACTGCTCCTGTCAATACAAAATTGACAATGCTGTCAAGCTTGCAAGATTTCAGAATATTTGAAGGCATGAGAAAGGGGTTTTGATATTCCTCGGTCGTTTGGCAGGGGTAGCTTTGAGCTGTCTGTCTCTCTGCACTTTAAACAAAAGCAGTGAAGTGCTCTCCTTGCTTTGCCTTGCTTGAAAGGGTACATACAAAAAAGGCACCTTTTTCTAAGGTTGACAAAGCTGTACAAAATTTTTGCTGTGGAATCAAGAGCAAAAAAGACTTCAGAACTCTCCAGTGGAAGATCTATTTTGGCACTTGAATTTTTTGGGCACATCATAAAGCTTTCCAGGGACATTCTCTGCTTTGTTGGGGCAGAGTGGAATGGGTTTTTGAGATTTTTTTTTGATTGCTGATTTTAAAATGATTGTTTATTTTTTGATTAAGTCATCTTTTAAGAAGTGTGATTGTATGTCACAAAGGAATTGACCACTGATGAGGTGCACAAGAGCAACTAAAAGGAGATATTAAGATCTAGAACTGGGATTTACTTTCTCTTGCCAGCTTTTGATTATGTGCCTGATGAATATTTGCTCCTAATTTCTTATCTTGAATTTGAAGAAATGAAACTGTGAGTGGTTTGCCTGTTGTGCTTCCCTGCTATTGGGGTGCGAGGTAAATCAGAGCAAAGCAGGGAGCTGCCTTGTCAGGGGTGTGGGTAAAGCAGGGTGTGCAGCCAGCTCTCCAGGCTGTGATAGATGAGAGGTCACGGGCAGTGGGAACATGCTGCTGCTCTATGGGTCCCAGTCCCAGGGTCATTAGGAGAGCTTGTCCTGCCGTTTGCTGGCTGGTGGGAAGAAGTTTCTCTGCCAGGCCCTGCTGCGACATCTCTGTGGGAAGCAGGCAGGGTAGGGCTGCCCCACTCCCCAGACACCATGCTGATGTTATGTGAGTCTTGCAGTTGTTCAGGCAGGACAGGAGCAAGGATTGTTACATGCCAGCAAGTTTTTGGAGGGTCTTTTCACCTTTATGTTGCCAGGTGTTATGCTGTTGTTTTTCTGATTCTGTTTCATACTGAGGCTTGGTATGGACTGTAGATTGAAGCCAAAGTTGGTTCATTGGTTGATGTAGGGGGGAAAGAGCCTCCAGCAAAGCAGCAGCCTCATGGCTCCCAGGAGGGAGAGTTGAGCACAGGTAGCAGGGTGTAAGGCAGCCTTGCTGGAGGTTGTGCCTGCTGCAGGCAGATTATAACAGACAGTTTGGGAACACACTGCAAACGTAACAGTCCATTTTCCCTAAGCAAACCTCAGTGCTTCCAGCACAGCCCTGGGAAGGCTGTCCTCTGCTTGGGAAAGAGTTGCTGTGAGCAGGAATACATTAAGGACTTTGAGGTTCTCAGGTACAGTGGTAATGGGAGCCACCCATGAGCTATAAATAGCACTAACATCGTTTCTCTCCAATGCCTGGCATCCCAAGCAGTCATTTTTGCTGGTGCTAGTGAAAATGAACAAAGCTTTGAAGAGCTTTTATTTATGTTCTCTTTACAGGCTGGAATTTTGTGAGTATTTTTCCTACTGGCTCTGAATTTTTCATTTATTTTAAGGGAAAATGTTGGCATTTTTTCCTTTTGGATTTTTTTCTTTTTTTAATTATCACATATAATTTTCATATTTTTAGCTCAACTATGTGGGAAAAGCTATTGTGGTGGGAGAGTGGGGATCAAAAATATTCATTTCCAAATAACCTTTATGTAATTGCAGGAAAAGGGGGAAAAAAACCCAGGAACCAAAATTTAATCTTATATAAATCTTATATGCATTTTTTAACAAAATAATGAAAATGTTTTTGTTTAGAATTAAGCAAACAATGCAGGGTGCTTTGGCAGGTTTTGTGGTGTTTACATTGAGATATCAGACAGAAATATTTGTTGTAGTAAAAGGAAAAGTTTTACATGCCTGTCAGACAAGATCTTCCTACGGTTTGATAGGAAACAAAGATGGTTTTGTGAAGGAGCTATGAAGGCCTGAGAGCAAAACCGGCAAAAAGGTCCCTCTTCAAAATATTTAGTATACACTTGATGAAGTCTTGTCATAAAATGATAAGGCCTCATCTGTTATGCAACTCTCCTTTGCTATTACAGACATTCTGGAAACATGAGGTCTACAAAACAGACATTTTGTGCTGAGATAACCAAAGAACCACTGCTACAAGATCAACTGGTAGAGCTGGAAGAATTAGTCAACCTTTTAAATATGCAAGAAGGGCTATATTTTTTTCCAATTATGCCAAGTAATCTAA